ATATGTTTATTTATATTTATATAAATAAAAGATGCATTAAATATAAAAATATTTTTTAAATATTTTATAAATATTTTAGAAACGAAGAAGTTTGCGAATTATTGTTTGTTCTGCTACGGTTGATGCAGAACAACTTCGAGATTTTTTCAATACAAATACAACAAAAGATTCAACGAAAGATACTGCGGTTATCCTTACTATTGAAGGTAGATTATATCCAGTAGATATTTTTTTTATAAAAGGTATATATTTATATGTATAAATATATAATATTATATCATCCTACAAAAAAATAATAAAATAATATAAAAATAACATATTTACAATCATTATTACAATATATTTTTTTTCATTTTTCGCGATTTTTTATTTATTAATGTTTTGATTTTTTTTTGCTTAATTTTCTTGTTTCATTTTCTATTTTTTAGAATATTTGTAGGATGATTTACATAATTATATAAATATATTTACATATGAAATTAATTTCTTATATTTTGTTGTATTTGATTTTAGAACCAGTGGCTAATTATGTGACTAGTGTCATAGATACTGTCATGAAAATTCATGAAAACGAAGAACCTGGTGATATTTTAGCATTTCTTACAGGTTTAGATGAAGTAGATCGAGCAGTTTCTCTTTTATCAGAGCATGCAAAACTTATAAAGGAAGGAAAATGTGAGTTTAAATACGATATTATCATCGTCATTATATAACTGCTTAACATTTAAGATAAATTTTATTGTCTTTATATTTTTTGTAGTGAAACTTTTACCTCTAGCTATGTATGGATCTCTTCCGAACTCAGAACAATTGAAAGTATTTTGGAGAGCTGCCAAAGATACTCGTAAAGTTATCATTGCGACGAATATCGCAGAAACATCAATTACTATTCCAAATATAATTTATGGTACGATTTTAATATATTTTTATAAAGTATTCATTATTTATATTTTAAGTAAAATTTATTTACATATTTATATTATTATTTACATATTTATATTATTATTATTTAATATATTATTATTAATTATTAATTATTTGTAATAATAAAAATTTATAAAAAAATTCAGTAATAATAAAAAATAAAAATATTGAAATTTTAATCTAGTTATTGATTGTGGCTTTGTAAAAATTCCATGGTATGAAACAGAAACTCAAACAAATTCTCTTATAATTGTTCCGATATCTAAAGCCTCCGCAGATCAACGTGCTGGTCGAGCAGGTCGTGTTCGAACAGGAAAAGCTTATAGGTATTTGATTTGTATAAACATTCAATTGTTTACTTTTGTTTATTTATAATATTAAAAATATTAATAAGTAATATTGTAGATTGTACACAGAAAAAGCATATTCAGAACTATTTGAGACAACACCGCCAGAAATGCAACGTTCGGATTTAGCACCTGCCATCTTACAACTAAAAGCATTAGGAATTGATAATGTATTAAGATTTAACTTTCCTTCTGCTCCACCAAGTAAAAATCTTCTTACTGGGCTGGAATTACTTTATGCATTAGGAGCAATTGATAGTAATGGAGAATTAACAACACCATTAGGTATAACAATGGCAGAAATGCCATTAGAACCCGTTTTAGCAAAATCTCTTATAGTATCAGGTAAAATTTTTAATAAAAAAATTATTAATTTAAAGTAAAGAAACAAAATTTAATAATGTATTTATATATAATTATTTTGATTATGTCAAATAATTTTTTAATTAATTCTTTTTATTAATTAATTCTTTTTAAAGGTGAAATGGGATGTTCCGAAGAAATATCAACGATTTTAGCAATGCTTCAAGTACAAAATGTTTTCATAAGACCAGCAGGCGGCCAGGCTGCTATAAAAGCAAGAATAGCACAAAGAAAATTTGAAGTTGAAGAGGGAGATTTATTAACATTACTTAATGTATATATTGCATATGAAAAAAATAAAACAAGTAGTTGGTGTCAAAAACAATTTCTTAATAATAAAGCGTTGCGCAGAGCTATGGAAATTCGAACGCAAATGCATTCTATGATGAAAAAATTAAATATACCATTGGTTTCATGTAATCGTAAGTTAAGTTAAAAATATTGTTATAAATAAATAAATAAATATATTATATAAATATAATATTATATTTTATATAAATATAAAAATTTTTTAATAACAATTATTTTTGTTCAAGGAAATGTACAACAAATTTTAAAATGTATAACCGCTGGACTTTTTTCAAAAGTGGCTTATTTACATTATACTGGAACATATAAAACAATACGTGGAAATAAAGATTTATATATACATCCAAATAGTTGTTTATATACACTTCAGCAACCACAATGGTTTGTATATTAACTTTAATATTTTATATTTTTATAATAATATATTTAATGTGTTCAATTCTTATATTTTTGTTCAAGGTTATTATTCTATGAAGTTTTACAAACAAATAAAACGTATATGAAGGATATAACTGTGATCCAACCAGAATGGTTATTAGAATTAGCACCTCATTTTTATGAAAAAACATCTCTTGATCCTATTTAATATAATTTTTATATATTCTCAAAATAATTTATTAAATAATTTATTAAAGAAAATAAAAAGTTTAATTTGAATATTTTTTTTTAATAAATTATAATTTAATACTATTAATATAATATACTATTGATATTATTAATACATATATATTATATATTAAATATCTATATTTTTTTTTATAATTATTTTAAAATTTTTAAATATTTTTAAAAATCAAAAAAATATATTATTTAATAATTTATTGTTTACTCATAAAATTAATACAAAATTATCTTAAAAATCTACTACAATGCAATAATTAATTAATAATTATAAAATTAATTCATTAATTAATTCTACAATAAAAATATATTATAATTTCCAAAAATAAAATTATATCTTTTTAAATATTTAAAAATAATTTATATATGAAGTGATTACAAATTATTATTAGAATTAAATGATGAAGTACAAATATATAAATATATTTTGTAAATCTTAAATGATATAAAAAATTTGTAGGTTAATACATTTTTCTTTAACTATATGATATTAAATCTTTGTTATCTTAAATTCAATAACAGTTAATTAAAACATATAATTAATTGTCCAAACAGTTAATTATATGTTTTAAGAATATTTTCCAAGATCACAAATAATGAAAATAAATTTAAAGACAAATGAATTTTCGATAGCGTCATTTTCCGATAGAACGTTTTAAATTTCTTTTTATTTCTTTGTTGTTGGGTTAAGATTTTTTATTATGTTTATTTAAATCTTGGTATTTTTATTGAGTAATGCTTGACAATATCAAAGTATATGGACATGATAAAAGTATTTTTTATTTATTTTTAATTTTATTTAAATTTTAATTTCTATCATAATGAATGTTAAAATAACTTTCTATAATCTGTTGTCAGTGATATGAAAATAGTAATGCTTTAGAGTTCTAGAAATATGTCACAAAAATATATTGCATTATTAGTCTATTTCTATACATAGTCTGTGATTGTGAAAAATCCATCTATCGATAAAGTAGTAATGGTTTTATCTTAATGAACACCAAACAAACTTCACAGTTTACGTTAGTTTTTGTTCCTACCGATGTCAAAAAAAAAAATCGCGTCTTCTCTGTTCGGCGTAGTCTGATAAAACTTATTATTAAATTAAAAAAAAACTTACATTAAATAATTTTATACGCCAAACAAAGAAAGTTAAAGATAAAAAATCTAATAGTTTCGATTTTGTTCAAAGTGACAAATATTTTATATTTTCGAAGACGTATGGCTATAATCCAAACGTGATATTAACCTTAATTTTGTAATATCTGCTCGGAATTTTAAAAACGAGCAGCATGGCTAAAATAGTTGAATCATTAAAAAGATTAAGTGTTGAACATGGTACACGTAAACATGATGATAATCGAACCGTCAAAAGAAAAAGCGAGTTAATATCATCGATAGAAGAAGCAGTATCTCTTGATCATAATTATATTCTTGCCGTCTGTGGAACACAAAGGCAAATCTTGCTTTTTCTTATGAAGCAGTTTATGTCAAATCTATTAAAAAAAGTATAGTATTTCTTAATTTATAATTTTTAAAAAAATTTTTATGTATATTTTACTTCAAAATATTAAATAGCATCACGCAATTTTCCCTCCATTTTATTTAAAATATATTTTTTTATTATTGAATAATGTAGTATTTTATATCAATATTTTTTGAAATTTAAATTATTTGAAATTTAATTTTTTAATTATTGTAACATTATTTGTTTATTTTTATATTATGTTATATTTGATTACTTATAAAATTAAAAATATTATTATTATATAAAAATATATTTAAAAAATATTAAATATTATATTTGGATTTGACATGAATTGTCTTAATTATATATATTTAAAAAAATCTGTTCAAGATATACTATAAATTAATTTTTATGTATAGTGATCCAGAATTTCGAATTGGTACTGCTTTATCTGATCATACATGTGTAATATATTCTGTTGGGGAAAGTTTAAACCAGACTATTACATTAACTCATAATCAAGCACCTATTGTTGGTATTAGGTTCAGTCCTACTTCTAGAAATATTTTATACACAGCAATGAATAATGGACAAATTACAGCATGTGATTTACGAGCTAAAGGCAAAGTTATTGCAAGGTTTAAAGGTATGTAAGAAAGTTCTTCTAAGAAGTAGAAATTGATATAATATAAATATTTTCCATATATTTTCCATTATATATATAATTCATATAAATTTTATAAATTTTATATATTTTTTGTTATATTTATATTTCTATCTCTATACTTTTCTTTTATTTTTAGATAGTACAGAAGATGGCAAAATGAGACCTCTTTGCAGTTTTGATGTTAGTTGTGATGAAAAACTTGTAGCAGGTGGTACTGAGCATATTGGAGGAGATGCATTTATTTTATTTTGGGATAGTCGACATACTAATTCAAAATTGGATGATAAAAATAATCTTCTTGGCGGATATTGGGAATCTCATATGGAAGATGTAACCTCTTTGGCATTTCATTCTAGTAAGCAGGATGTCTTAGCATCGGGTAGTACAGATGGACTGATTAATGTCTTTGACCTTACACAGCCATCAGAAGATTCTGCATTAACTTATTCCTTAAATACTGAATCATCTGTGGTAAGCTAATATTCTAAATAGATAAAATCTGAAATGTATATAAACAAGATTGAAATTTATATATCTTAAAAAAAAAAGGATAGGATAGGCTGGTTAAGTGATGATAATCTTTGGTGCACAACACATAATTCATTACAACTTTGGGATTGTGATGGAGCAACTCCATATGCTAAATTTGAACGTAGTAATCTAACAGTTTCTCAAGTTAGTATGCAATAGTATAATTATATTATTATTGATGTTTATAGAAAAAACAAATTTCAAATAATTTGAAAATAATTTTAAAATTAAAAAAAATAAAATATTATATCTAAACACAATCTCTTAACAATCTCAAAATAATAATTTATATTATTTTTTTCAGAATGATGATCCAGATGATTGTTATATAGTTAGATTTCATGCTTCAAATGCACTTGGACAACCATTTCTCCTTGCAGGTTCTAGTAATGTTAAAGGGTAAATAATATAAATTATTATTAAACATTTATAATATGATTTAAATAATTTATAAAATAGGATAATATAATATCTTGATATATTATAACATTGACATCATAACTTGTAACATTAATTAAATTTCAACATTTTATTTAAATTAATTAATTTATTTTAATTAATCTTATTTAGTGCAATATTTTTATATATTTTTTCTTATAAAATTTTAGGGAAAATTTGAGATGTTTAAATATCATAAATGATCGATTAGAAACATGTTATAATATGATAGGAAATAAACAAATAGTACGTGATAGCTGGCTACATGAAAAGGTATAATTTTAATATAAATAATATAAATTTATTTTAATATAATGAATATTTTAATGTATCATTTGCAGAGTGGTTCCTTAATAACAGTAGGTGAAGGTGGACTTATAAATATTTGGAGACAAACTGAAACTATACCTATTCAACAAAATTCTAGCCATAAATTGATGGCAAAAATTGGTACTGGCAAAGGACGAGATCGTCAACACAGAACTAAGCCATATTAAAATTGATAGGATAAAAATTTGTAAATGCAAAAAGAGTTTTTGTAAGTAAATATAATAAACAGAAGAGAAATATTACGTAACATTAACATAATCGTACATTTCCCTCACGTTTTTCTTTATTACAATAACAGTTGTATGTACATTTATAATAAATAGATATTATTTCCTTATGCGGTTAATGATTTAACAGCGATTCATGTATCAATCGAAAAATGTAGCATATGTATATATAAACGTTAAGGAATGTAAATCACATATCAGTATGTATATATCTGTATAGAATTGAAACAGGAAGAAAAATATCGTAAATATTTATTTACTTTCGCTAAGTAACAGATTAACTTTTATGGATCGCCTTCCGGAAAAAATGATTTTATTTCGGAATATAAGAAGTGATTAAAATATGTTTACGACATGCATTTGTTATAAAATAAACACATTTTATGAATAAATGATAATCTTAATGAAATAATTAAGCAAATAACATAATAAGTAACAATTGATATTAGCATATCACTGACATAACGATTTTTAATTTAATTTGTTAGATTTTAAGAGAATTAATGTTGATTTATGAGTAAACGCGTTTTAACAAATACGCGTTTATTTATTAGATATAATTTTATGTTAACATTTCCAAAGACGATCGCAGTAGCGAGTATCACAATGATAACAATAGATATAGTTTTAGAGTAAAATAGTAGGTACAGAGTAAACGTACAAAAATACTTCCCATGAGCGTCAGAGATATAAAGATTCACTAAAACGTGGAAAACCGCGTTATTAATAATTCTTTATATCCTTTTTTAAACTTATGCTGCCTAACAGCATCAAATATGTTAGATGCCAAAAGACGCATGTAGGCCGCCGCACTACTTCTTAGTTGTTATTCCAATTTGATTCTTCGCGTTACACCTGAAGATGGTGTGCGACTTCATTGTACAAGGATAATATTTAATAACAATAAATTTTAATTGTATTAAGCTACATTTGACATAGTGCAATATTCTTAATGTATATAAAGAATATATAATTTATATTATATATATATATATATTTTGTAATATCTAACTGTGGAATGATTTTTTGGAATTATGTTCCAATATTAAAACTTTTCATATATGTTTCTTATTTTTTTATAATGAGCATCATGACATTAAAAATGTTTTATTTTATTAAGTGTTCTTGAAATGAAGTCGAACACTCATCTATGAAGGCTACTAACAGATTAATCAATAGACAATATCCTTACGAGCTGATATATGCTCAGTATTTTTTTCTTATTTTTTTTTGTTTTTTTCTTTTTTTTTTTTTTATAATAGACTTATAAGAATTAAATTTTTTTTTTTCATAATCTTTAAATCTTACGGAAATACTTTTAAGAACTATTGTCACCACGATTGTGTGTGTATGCGATTGAGACAAAATTGAGATAAATTGATAGTATTATGTTTTCTTACAAAGATAAATTAATTAGTTATATATTTTATTATCGTGCCTCGACGACGCTGTTCTATTCGATCATATTGCACGTTACAGCATCTTTTGAGGCAAATACGTGCAAAATCTAAACATATATATATACTAAAACAAAAAATATAATGATTTATTCTAGAACCACATTCGAGATTTCTTATCTAATATCTTAAACGTGCAGTATGATCAATTTTTAAAGAATACTTTCTCTAGAATAAATTTTACTTTCAAAATATTCAAAAACTTTCTTCACAAAGAAAGTCTCGTATAAATAAAATAGTTTAAGCAATCAAAAATTATTGCCGATTTTAATATATATAATGCAATAAATAAAATAGTTTGTTACTTAAAAAAGAAAAAAAGAAAAAAATTACAGATTAATGATAATGGCAGTGAATAATCTCGAAGAAAGATGTAAAATGTAAAATGTAGTTTGGATTGCTATTGATTTTGTTAAATTAAAAACGATTTATATATATTTATTAATGGAATGATGTAATGATATTCAAAAAATTAATGATTTTAATCTGTGGCTTGGCACATGTAACAGCAATGTACTATTGATAATAATAGATCTTATCCGTCGTTTTAGCACGTATTAAAATACTTTTAAAGTTACAGTATAAGAATAGCTACCGCGGTCACTCAGGCATTCGTACACATACATGCATTCACATTTACAAACACACACATGTACGTGTCACAAATGTTACATACGAATTATTATTTTTTCTTTTTTCATTCATATATTTTCACACATTTTCGTTTTCAACATACGTACAAGTAATGCCATACATATGTCATGAAAAAGTATATCTATATACACATCCATGTATATGCAATTCTAATAATGTATTTTTTCTATCTTGTATTCAGCAAATTGCAACAGATTTGCTTAAAAGATTCGTCTAAAATCATGTTTCTAAAATTGTCAGTCGGCTTAATAACATAACGAATAAGGATTCAACAAGATCGGCTGATCTATCTCACTAAGCCATTTTAATATTTTTTTCCCGCAAATATTTCTGAGCATTAATTGTTATTTTTTTATTTGTCCATATATTTTATAGTTATTCTTTTTTTATAATAGATTTTGTGAGAATTTGCATAAAAATTATATTATTGCCTTCAGTAGCAGTTGAAAAGTAACATTATTCTTTATTTAATTTTATATTGAAAATAATATGTATATTCTTTTTTTATTAATAGTCGCACTATTATTATGGACACCTTAAATGCATCACTTGTGTACTATATTGTATTTCGATATACAACATAGATAAAATTATTAAGAGAAGAAAAAAGAAATAAAAGAGAAAAAATACCAATAAGTAAAAAGAAAATATTAGAAACAAATAAAAAAAAAAATATAAAGACAATATGAACAAGAAAAATTGAAATTAATAATAATTATGAAGAAAATAATTCAAAATTCTTACCGAGAAAATGTTGAAAGTCAAAATGACTTTACACGACTTCTAGGTTGAGCATCTTTTGATTGATTTCGGGAGGGAGTTAACGTGGAAGTTGGAGTAGCTTCGCCAGTTGTAGGACGAGAAGATCGAGAATGTTTCCGACCAAAACGAAAGAAACGTCAGAAAAAAATTACTTCTTCTTCCAAAGGTTGTTGCTGTTCTGTTCGTTGATGCTGTTGTTGATGTGGATATTCTGGAGGCGATCGTGTAATTCGAAGCGAACGATTCGAGGAATGACTCGTTCCAGCATGATTATTTCCTAATTCTGGTGAAGAATACGTAGACCCAGTAACAATTGCCGGACTACTTCCCGTTCGCGAATGTCGATCGGGACTATTATTACTTGTACTTCCACTTCTAATTTTTTTATTAAATAAAAAATATATTATTAGAATATATATATGTGTATATATATATATGTATATATATTTTAATATTAATTTTTTAATTTAATTTTGTTATATTTTAAATAATTATATAAATAATATTTATACATACCTATTATTGTTGCTTCCACTAGCAAGTTTTAAAGGCAATTGTTGTTTGACAGGAAGATTACTTTGCACTTTTTGCTGATTAGTAGCACTAATTAAATTTAATGGTATTCTTTTAGCATCTGGTTGTGATTTTCGTGTTTGTACAGTATCATTTCCTTGCGTCAAATGAGATAAATGAATAGTTGTAGAAGTAGGTGCAGAACCTGTAACTAATGTCACTCCTTGTCGTTCTAATGCTTCGAGTCGTCGGTATAATTGATCTCGTTGCTGTGTAACATCTCTTTGCTCTGCTGCCAGTTGTTCTCGTTGCCTTGCCAATTCAGTCCGTTCTTCTTCTAATTGTTTTTGTTCTTGTTGAGATGCAGAACGAAATGCTGCTTTTTCTCGACTTAACTGATCTTGTAAGTTACGTAATTCTTCTAACTGTCGATTTGGATTAGGTCTATTATTTGATTTACCCATACTTCCTTCTTTATATGCAGCTAATTGAGCCTGTAGACTATCAACTGTTGTCATTTGATTACTAATTATACAGACCAACCTATAAACATGATGAGATAAACGAATTGCTGCCCATTGTTGATCTTTATTTATTTCTGTATCTTGACTTTCTTTTTCATCTAAATTTTCTTTCATAAATTCACTAACTTTTGGAAGAGAAATTACGGAATGAATTGCAGATTCTCGTAATGGATATTTTTCCTAAGAAAAACATATAATTATTTTACCTTATTATTTTAATTGCTAAAGTAGTAACATATTATATATTTACTTTGTTATGATCAAAACCCGCAAATGTTTCAGCTCTTCGAGGAACACAAAGAGCAGATGGAACATAGGCTTCACTATGTCGTTCTCCTGCAGAACTCAAACTTCTCGAAAGAGTAGCACCACCAGCAGTAAAAGATAATGAGCTAGCAAGTTTTGTTGCTTCTTGAATAGCTGCAACCACCTATAAAAAAATGATTTTTCAGTTTTAATTTTATTTATTCAAGATATTTCATAGTTTATTTATATAATATTTATATATTATTTATATAATTTTTATAATATAATTTTTTATATATTCATGAATACAATTTCTTATATTATTTAAAATTTAATTTTTTAAAAAAAAATATAATAATATAACCTCTTGTCGTAACTGTGTAGTATCTGTTCCTTCGTTATGAACTAATCTAGTATAATCTAGAATTTCTTTGTCAACTTTTTCTATTCTTTCATTATCACTATTTTCACTTGCACTCCAAATATTTGCAGCATGTAAAAGTTGCATTTGTAAGTTGATTTTTTCTTCAAGTAATAATGCTTGTTCTGCATCTTTTTTACGTAATTCACCTAATTATAATAATAAACTGGTTTTAATATATTCAATCTAATAATATTTATACAAGATATTAATATATTCAGAAAATGTCTAGAATGAAGAGTTAATTCTAAAAATTAAAAACAAATATAAAAGTTATATAAAAATATTGATTAAGATTTATAAATATATAAAACAGAGAAATTCAATCGCTATTATCTTATTTTTTTGTAGTCTCGCTTTTTCCAATATATTTAAATTGCTTATATACTTAATAAATAAGTCTCAACCAATATTTTTGTATCTGTTTTGTATCTATCTCTATAAATATCTTAATATGCATACATATATACATATATTATTAAATATCACACATACCAATTATCTTAAGAACATGTGACTCTTTAATTTTAATTAAACGTTGTCTTTCTTCAACAGAAAGAAACGATATAGAAGAGGAACGTGTATCTCTTATTTCATTATTATTATTGTTTTCAGTTAATGTATCAATTTCATTTTCAAATTCTTGTGGACAG